AGTTGAGCCCAGGAAGAAGGGAAGGATGGGGAGAAGGTGTTTTAGGATCTGGTTTTATTTCTTATTACCATACTATGATTTGATTGGCAACAAGTTAAATTATTTTTTTCCAAGTTGAGTCTGTAGTGCTGTTATGGTGAATGATCTGTCTCTCTCCTTATCTCGACCCACAAGCCTTTCGTTATATTTTCTCTACACTGTCCAGCTGAGGAGGGGTAGTCATAGAGCGGCTTGCACTTCTAGCCAACATCAACCCACTATAGTAACATAAGGAAAATGTTGTTTATCTTTCTTTCTTTTTTTAAAACCAAACTGTGATAACTCCAGCTCCCTTTGATGCATATGTTGCTCTATTCTATATCTCTTATGTCAAGTCTAGCACACTGCTACTCTATGTCCACTTTATAAAAGAAAGCATTAGGGAAAATAGGAACTAGTGATAAAATAAAAATATTATATAAAACCCTTAAATCTTCTTTGAAAAGCTGTCTGAAAAAGTTTAAATATTTACTGGCTTTGTGGTTTTTTTGGTGAAATTCAATCTTAAGGGCCATACTGTAAAAACTGAAATCACACCATGGAGAACGGACAGATCATAAAATATTCTACAGGATAGGAATATATCTTGACAAGGATTAGTGAAGCCCTGGGGAATGCTAGTGCTTAGTTTGTATTGTGCAAGCATTATGTAATTTATGAGTAAGAGTTTTGTTGGTATAAAAGCATGTAAGCCGGATTTTTAGAGAATTAGCAGGGAACGTACTGAGAATATGTCATGTCTGGCTGTGGAATTCGGATTCACTGTTACAGATCTCAGTTGCGCTTTTCATTTTCATAGTGACTTCCACCTCACATTCTGTGGATTCTCCACAAATGTTGCTGGTTGAATAATGGAACTACTTGTGAACTTGTTTTTCAATTTGAAATTGGCTTTTGAGGTACATGTGTTTTACAGTCTATTGGGTCTTTGTGTACTCGACTGATGGGGAAGTCAAGCTCTATTGTGAAAAGTGAATTTTGATTTGAATTTTTGCATTGAAGGAAGGGCAGGCTGACCCATCCCTGTCTTACGGGTGTAATCAGTATGAGGGGGCTTGCACAGGCTTATTTTTAATTTTTTTAAATCTCTGTCCAAATGTTACTTATAGTAACACACATAGCATGGAAATAACTTTACAGAGGTATCAAGGAACTAACCGTCTTCCTTTCTTCTTCTCTCTGTAGTTTGTTGCTCAGCCCAACTGCCAGCAGCTGCTTGCGTCCCGCTGGTACGATGAGTTCCCCGGATGGAGGAGGCGACACTGGGCTGTGAAGATGTTGACATGTGTTGTGATAGGACTCCTTTTCCCAGTCTTCTCTGTGTGCTACCTGATAGCTCCCAAAAGCCCATTAGGGCTGTTCATCAGAAAGCCATTTATCAAATTTATCTGCCATACTGCATCCTACTTGACTTTTCTGTTCCTGCTGTTGCTTGCCTCTCAGCACATTGACAGGTCAGACTTGAGCATGCAGGGACCACCACCAACCATCGTCGAGTGGATGATATTACCGTGGGTCCTGGGTAAATGTATTACTAAAGAAAATACAGTGAAAAGTGTTTTGACTCCTTTGGTTTTGCCATGCATTCCTGAGGCAGGAAGATATGGTAGAAAGTTCTGTCATGAATTATTGACCTACCAAAACAGGCAAATGGTCCATCTCCTCCAATACGTAGAAAAAGACTCAAGTAATAGAAGACTTTAAAAATCCAAAGAATCACCACCTGATATATTACAGTCAGGGAAAACAAAAAATATCAGGGGTTCCTTCCTGTGATTAAGCAGTGCCCTGAAACATGCATGCTGATATTCTTTTTAATATCTATTTTCTCCAGGCCAGAAATTATTCTGATTCTTGTAAGTGTCCATTTTTTTCTTTGTTAATCTACTTTTAAAAAAGGGTCCCTTTGCCACGATAATTATTTTTCATATATTAGAATGAGGCACAGTGTCATTTCTGGAGTGTTATCACAAACCTTAGTTAGCTGAAGTATGCTTCTTTCTAATATGACAGACCCACCTATTGCAAATAGTGCTGACCAGCATTTTCAATTGAGTATTTTCATTAAAATATGCACGCAGGGTATTTCTTCTGTGCAAAACCATTGATGAGAACTTGTCACTCAACTTCAAACAAAATATTTTACACCAGAAGGAATAAGAAAATCCCCTAGCATTTTTAAAATGGAGGAAAAGATTCCCACTCTGGTCTCACAATTTAAAATAAAAATTTCAGTCTGGGATTATTGAAAGCGTGCTTTGCGTGGGCCATGTCAATCTTAAAGCTCTTCCTGTGTGATTGCTTAGTCCTATCAAATTGCTCTATCTTAGGTCCTCCCTACCTTTGTATGTCTCCCCTGCTAGATGGTATCTCTTGGTGTGCCATGGTCTCTCCCCTGTTTCTTATTTTTGGAACCAGCACAAGTTGAACCAGGTCAGGCCAGTTATACTTGGTCTTGACTGAAGTGAAGTTGCAGAAGGAAGGACTTAGTAGCCTTAACTGCAAGAATTTAAGTTTGATATCTTCATATAAATTGTCATCACATAGACAAGTTCATGCACAAACTATTCTTAAATGTTTTGGTGGTGTTTTGATACTGTTAACGTCTCTCAGAGCTTTCCATTAAGACGCTGTTTCTCTTCACTTTTGCAACTTTTCCCAAACACCTGGCTTTTTTTAGAGCAACCAAACTGACAAGGCTTTTAGCATCATTGATGATATATAATTTACAATGCACTGCTGAATTTATATACACTAATTGGCAGTGCCTGGTGTTCCAGATAAGAATGAGTCAGTGGCTTTTTCTCTATACGTTCCTCGGTAGAGCACTGTGGGAAGCAGGAGGCAGGGCTACATCTGTTTTTCACATAAGCAAACAGGCATGCATGACTGAAGACCTTGTGTATATTTACTTGTTGGGAACCACTCAGAAGGACCTGCCTTCCACAGATGAACTGCTTTCTGAAATAACCTCATGATAGCACAGAATAACACAGTCCTCACCACCAGCCTTCACTGTAAGGTGTGTTGTCCTTCGCTAGGTAAATATTGGTACTAACATTAAAAAAAGCCAATATCTAGTATTATTGCAAAGGAATTAATCAATCTGGAAGGCTGCTTAGAATGACATTTCCTACAGAAAGACTAACTTCAGTGGGTGAGAGTCACATTTTAAAATTAAAAAAAAATTCCTCCAGTAAATTTTCTCAGTTTTGTAGCAACAAGAAGTAAGAGAGAGACCAATATGAAGCTCGTTAGTTTGATACATTACTTCCTTAGAAATAAATGCTACAATGCTGGGAGGAACAAGGGGCTCTTCTGCACTGTCCTGTACCCAGAGGAGATATTAATACCTTTTCTGTCTGGCCTTCCAAAATAGCAGGTGGTCAGTATCTATCCAGCTTTCACAGTATCCTGAGGCTGAAGGACAATAAGAACAAATGCATAGCTGACACATAGACCTTGACATGCCAAAGTAGGTTTTATCATTAACCTATCTTTTTAAAGAAAAAAATTAAAGCTCAGAGCAAAAGGCACAATTTGAAAAGGGTAAGAACTAGTTTCAGTTAAAGGCAGTTCTGAGATTTTGATGACCAGTTCCCCTCCAGAAAACGTGCAGTGGGAAGAGGAAGAACCTCCACTGCCCGCAACCTCTGACACTGTTGTTTTCTTAGGAAAGGGTTTAAGTAACTCATCATCCCAAAGCACTTGTTTGAAGAAGCCGTTAACCCTGAGAATTACGACTATCAAGATGATTATCATTTCTAAAAGCAGCATTAATATTTGCAGTATAGACTCATATGGTCAGATTATGCCGGTACTGCCTGTGCTGAATAAGCCCTTCCTCTGCAAGCAGTACAGGTCACGCCAAGGGAACTGCTTGCATAAACAAATATTCATGAGCATGAATAAAGATCAATAGTCAGATACCATGTGATCAAATAGTTTGTGGTTCATCTAGACTGTAATGTTCAGAGAAACTGTGCCATCCAAAATCTCTTGCGTCTAAACCGGTGTATTGTACACACTGATCTCTAGCACTTCCTAATTAGTGGTTTCCTGTAGTTCCAGTTTCATGTTTACTGGGTTCAGCTTTCAGACTTTGGTTGCTGCAGTGCCTTAGCCCACCCAAATAATAAGGCCCCAGATTCACCCATCATAATCTCAGGCAAGAGATTAGGTACCTAAATTCCCTCTGTCATTGAAGGAGACAGACACACATCTCCACAGGACGCTTCAGCTCACAGCATGTGATGAGCATGTCCATTTCAGCTTTGTTTTGTTTTGTTTTGTTAAAGGAATTAATCTCAGCAAAAACCTGCTGTTCAGGTTTTTGTGAATATGTAATATTCACTTACATACAAACTGTGGCCTAGTAATTTTTTAATAAACTAAATACTTTTATTTAAGTCTTTATCAATAAGCTAAGGTTAGTTTCCAGGCCACAATTTAGTCTGTTGTCTCATTTCTTCAAGTTATAGTTATGCAGTATCCTTAAAAAGAGTAAATGCAGCACTTGAATTACACAAGGGAGCGTAAATCTGTGGTACATAGATAATATCTTTGCATTTTCTGGATATAGAGAAAAAATGCTGAAGTCTGAGACAAAACTAATGTGGCTCTAAGGTTACAGTTTTTCTCTGAAATTGGAAACACGACCAAGTAAATGCTTTTCCCAAAGCAAAAGTTATCCTGGAGCAGCTACAGCATGTCAAAACTATTAACATTTTAAACAATAGAATTCTTTGCTTGTCTTTCTCTTAATTCAAATAGCTCTGCATGTAATTTGATTTTAATAGCTACCTCCCCTAAAATGAAAAGAGGAAGAGGAGCTCTATTTTCCAGGCTTCTCATCGACATGAATTTCAGCGTATGTTTATTTCTTAAGAAGTTTCAAGATTGTCCATAACGATCTAAGCTCTCCAACAATCAAACAGTAATTAGCATTTGCCTACTACTTTGTAATAGAAAACTGAATGTGCATAATTAGCACATATTAGAAGTGTCACTAGAGTAGGAGGCTCAGAGAAAAACCTGTATTGGGCTACATTTCCATGGAGACTATCGATTTTACATTTAAAAAGTCTCTTAAGGAAAATTTTGCATTAATTTTGTCTTTTACATGATTAAATGATTACACAAGTGGTGTTAAAGTATGTGGTGATTATCCATGGAACAATAAATCAGTATAACAAGGTTAATATTATAGCTTTAAGAAGCAGTTCTGGAAAAATCTCTCAGTAAGAAGAGACAGAATCTGCTGTCCTTGCATTTAAACAAATAAGAAACAAGGTTTTGCCAGTAAGTAAAATTAATTTTGTTTTTCTTATTAGCTGTTGATTCAGATCTCCCAAGCATCCCAGATGCTTCACACTACAGAAACATAGGCCTGTTTCCTATACTTGAGAATCTGTCACCACTGAAAAAAGGACAGGAAAAACAAGAACCCCATCTTGTGAAAAAAAACTGAGGAAGGACAATATTTTCCATCATCAAATTCCCCATCGAGTTGCTGAGTGGCCTCTGAGCAATATAACAGTGATGCAAAAGGGAAATCAAATAAGACCCAGCTTCACCCTGTGTGCCTTGACTGCAGCTCACATAAGGATCATACTGATCCCTTGTAGACCTGCAATACCTGCTCTGCTCTAAACCCTAGCTTCAAACCTAAGAGTGACCGTGCTAAATGTCCTCACAGTGGCCATTTGGCTTACAGGGGAATGCTATAAAATTCAGAGGAGAAAAACGACAAGCAGATAAATTTGGTGCCTAGTAGATGGGGTAAAAAGCTGCTTGCCAGTTGTTTGGGATTGCTGCAGCAAAAAGAACATTTTTTAGGCAAATTTGTTTAGATGATTTTTTTGCTCTTTTATGGGCATCTTCAAATGTTCATCATAATTATGTTGTTCAGAATAGTGCCTGGAGCAGTAATGCAGCCGTACTGGATCTCTTTAACAATGTGTTCCCCGTCCTTTCTGTCAGAGTGGTTTATACTGTTGGAGTATGTGAATCTATAGAGAATGTGAATGTTTGAGAACTGTTCAGACTGCAAACATTTGTGGTCAGCAAACTGCTAGTAGGATGTATGGGAGAGTACAGTCTTGTCAGTACTTAGCACAATGTACATCCAGACTGATGGCACAGCAAGACGCTTCAGATGAAGTGATCATAGAGATGGTAAGTACACTGTGCATCATCTTCTAAATTTGGTCAAGAAAGTGGTGTGTAAAAAATTAAACAGTTAGTACAAATTGATGTGTTCCAGGGAGCAGAGATAAAGAATAATGTGGACAGCAAGATAAAACAGTGCATAACCAGTAGTGACAAATAAAGTGCAGAAGAGGGAAATAATTCCAGACAAAGCTGGAACACAACATCAGTCAGAAAGAAGGATAATGCACATAATGACCACTCAAGTCCATTTAGTCCAAACTACTGCTCAACATAGGCTAACTACAAAGATAGATCAGATGATTATTCGAGTTCTTGTCCAGTCAAATCTTGAGTTTCTCCAGGGATGGA